AATGAGAGTCATGTAGGCTTTGAAAGACATTATTAATCATGAAGACTAAGAGCAGTCTCCTCACAAGCTAGCCTGTGGCCTCTAACATGGCCTGGATAAAAAAATGTTAAGAGTTATTAGCTAAATCAATCAGATTCCCCATCTGAGCAATTTAAATTACAAATGCAGGAATAATTTGCCAGTTGGGACAGAAAGAAGTAGAAACACCTGTTATAGGCAGGTCATATCAATGCAGAGCACAATAGGGTCCAAGAACTTTGTTGCTGAGTTCTCCAGAGCTGCCTTGACTTATCAGATCTCCTTTCCCTGAGAACTGCTTGGCCCTATTAAGGCACCAGTTTGGGGGTTCTTTGACATTCACTCCTTTTTGTCATTTTATGAGCATCTATCTGTATAATTAACCCTCATAAATGATCTAGTTAAGTAGATCTATTACTCTTTAAAAAAAGAGAGAAAAAAGAAGTGCCTTCCAAAGAAAGATATCTTACAATTATGTAACAGTTTACAAAGTGTTTGTTATCTCATTTACTCTATCAACAACTCAATAAGCTAATGAACTTCAGAGATAGAGTTTTTCAGGTATCTAATTGTTAAAAGGAGTTCCTGGGTGATGCAAATGGTTTACCCATTCAGCTGCTGACCGAAAGGTTAGGGGTTCAAGTTCACACAGAGGCGCCCAAGTCCACTCAGAAGCATACCAAAATCCTATGAAGCAAAGTTTTACTCTGACCTACATGGGTCGCCATGAGTCAGGAGTGCATTCAATGGCAACTGGCAACTGGTAATCATTAAAAGCAGATAATCTACACAGCTGAATCAACTGAGGCTGGATATGAGGTCCAGAACTGCTGTACACCATCCACCACCAAGCTGAGGATGAAGCTGGTGCACTGAGGAAGAAGGAGTAAAGGGAACTGTAGAAAAATGGAGCTGGGGCCACTGAATTAAAGCAAACCTGAAATCTCCACAGCCTCTGAACTTCAGTTCCGTGAACTAATAAATTTACTCACTGTTTCAACAAGTAGTTTTCCGCTATATGTAACTGAAAACATACTAACTGATACAATATCAATTACATTCTTACCAACATTCAAAAAGCAGGGTATGAGCCTTGGGAGAAGAGAAGATCACCCTTGACTGAGGAAGGAGAAATATGAGAAAACTAGATGTAGGGCGTTGCCTAGTCAGTTCATAGGTATGTGTGCAGACAGGGCCCTGCTGGTGTAGTGGTTAAGAGCTTGGCTGCTAATCAAATGGTTGGAAGTTCGAATCCATCAGCTGCTCCTTGGAAACCCTATGGGGCAGTTCTACTCTGTCCTATAGGGTTGCTATGAGTTGGAATCAACTCGAAGGTGAAAGGTTTTTTTTTTTTTTTTTTTTTTTTTTTTTGTAACCTTAGCTCAGCAGCTAAGTGAAAGGTGAGTGGTTTGAACCCATCAGCTGCTCCGTGGAAGAAAGATGTATAATCTGCTTCCATAAAGATTACAGCCTTGGAAACCCGATGGGCCAGTTCTACTCTGTTCTGTAGGGTCACTGTAAGACGGAATTGACTCGATGACGACAACGGGTTTTGTTTTGCTTTGTTTTCAGTAACCTTAGCAGTATATGCCCAATGAGTTTGTCATATAAGATGGCAACAAAAAGTAACCAAGAGTTTAATGCAGTAAATAATACCTACCTACTCATATGGGCTTGGTACTTTGTCTTAGTTGAAAATACAGAGAAATAAAACATTTCTGACCTCAAAGACTTTATATTCTTTTTCTTATTAATGGGGACAACAGTCTACTTAACCTAGGCAAATGCTGTTATTCACCAATACTCATACTTCCTTCAAGATCTATAAACCTTCCTGACTATTTTAAGTCTCAGTCCTCTCTCATCTCTAGGCAAACAATCTAAACCTGAATTTAACTACTCAGTGGTTTGGTTCTGTTCTTTACTTATTTCATTTACGTTACCAAGTCCTGTTTTCCCAATAAGAATCTAAGTTTATGAGGATAGAGCCCATGTTTTTTAGCCTTATGTGCCCTGTCTGTTGCTTAATAAACTCAAACCAGTTGTTGTTGAGTGAATTCCAATCACGGTGACCCCAGGTATTTCAAAACAGAATTGCACTCCATAGGGTTTTCAATGGCTGTGATCTTTCAGAAGTAGATTGCCAGGTCCTTCTTCAGAGGCACTTCTGGGTGGATTCAAACTGCCAGCCTTTTGGTTAGTAGCCCAGCACTTAACCATCTGTGCTACCCAGGAATTCCGTGTTCCTTAGAACGATGATAACCATTGTGGAGGATCTGATGTTAAATTAGGTTAGGAGTCTCAGAAATTTAGAAGACTCAAAATTATATGTAAAGTAATTAAAAAAAAAAAATCC